ACCTGTGCCTCCCACATCTGCGCTGTGCTCATTCTGTATGTGCCTATGATAGGCTTGTCTATTGTCCATCGTTTTGCCAAGCATTCCTCTCCCCTCATCCACATCTTCATGGCTCATATCTACTTAATGGTTCCACCAGTGCTCAACCCAGTCATCTACAGTGTGAAAACCGAGCAGATCCGCCAAGGGCTCCTCCACCTACTACCTCACCCCAAAATTAGGTCTGTTGTGATGTAGCCATGTCCTCAAGAAAATAGCAAATTCCTCACCACAACTGATGTTGAACTATGATTAAATATCTGTACTAGACATGTTGGAACAAAGGTAGTAAAAAAAGACTCCTTAAGAGAATAAAATAGAATCAAAAGAGCATCACAGAAGTTTGTGACCAGTGAGACAGCATAGCTGGACATTACAAATGCTTCATAATATCTGTATAGGCCTTAGTGCATTGCAAAGGTGTGTGTTGCAAATAGTTTCCATTTGTTTCTCCTACCTCTACCCCCAAACTTTAGTCAATGTTTTTTTTTTTGTTGGCTTTTTTTTTTTGTTTCATTTTGTTTTTCTTCCAGTACCAGGAATCAAACTCATGACCTCGTACTTGCCAGGCAGGCACTGTGCCACTGAGCTAAATTCCCAGCCCCTATGTCCTCAGCCCCTAGTCAATGTTTTTTATCTGTGAAGTTTTCCATGAATAACCAAACCTGTATTTGCTATATTTTATTTATTTTCTTCTTGACAATCTGTACCATTTAGCATAGACTCTTATGCTCTTGTTATTTAATTGTGGTGTCCATAAATGGGTTTCTTTTAGCTTTCTTGAGGATGATAGCATTTTATTTTGATGTAAAAATATATTTTGACTAAAAGCAGATGGAATGAAGCACATTGCTACATCACAAACACCTTCTAAATATTTGTATGCAGGATCCTCTCTACCTGAAGAGGTATGATTATTTCAGGGATCCGAGAAGTATGTATGGTTTGAGAGGGTTTATTTTTGTTTAATTTGTTTTTTTAAAAATAATTCTTATTTATAGAACGCTGAGACTTCACTTTTTAAAAGTTGCAGACATTAAAGTGTAAATGTAATTGTAACTCATGGTCTTCAGTATGTCTTCATCCATGTTATTTAACTTGCTGGTGTTAGCATGAAACTGTAGCTCACTGAGACACAGTGACTTACAAGTGTGTAATAGCAGGAAACAGATAATAGAGAACTACAAAACATTTTTCTGTTCTTAATTTTTTCTGGTACATTTTGATACTGTACAATTATTTCATTCCTCATGAGGAGTCGGTACATGTGCATAGCGCATCTTAATTTTTTCCTTTCCTTGTTCTCCCTTCAATTCCTCCCTCTCTATCATTTGGTCTCCTTATTTCACAAAAGTTCTAATTACCTATGTCATCTATCTTTGGTATGGTCTGTTCTTATATTTCTGAAATTATGTTGCATATAGTCATACATGTCTTGTATTACAATCTTTTGAAAGAAAATAGAAAGAAATTTGTTCACTTGCTTGCACTGTCTCAAAGAAAAAGGAGAAAGAAAATAAAAATGTAAAAATGCTTTAAAGCTCCTAATAGTTGCAGAGATCTTAACAATACCAGTGAATTTTGACATTAACTTTTATGATGATTAGGCAAGGACTGTGAGAATTGGCACTTTTCCTTGTTATAACAGTGGCACTCAACATTGAATGCATAATTGATGGTGAAATAAATCAATCATTGAATAAATGAAGATTAGTTTGGATATAGATTTCAAATACAAGAGCCAAGCAGAACCTTTCGATGCCTGACCCCAGGCTACTGACTGTGCACAATGTACCTGGGGCTACTCTGGACCCAGGCAGTGGTTGATGAGAATGAACTACTCTCTCTGGATACATCCCCAGTTCATTTTGAGCAATATAACAAAAATTCACTTGTGTAAACATGGGTTTAGGTTTCTCTCTCGCAGGAGGAGTGGTAGCACATCACCAACAAACTCCCAGCAAACCTCACCATAGGAACCAGCCAGTGCTGAGGAGTCAGAGTGCTGTGGGTGTAGAGAGAGTACGCAACCTGTTTAGAACTTCTGGACATATGGTCCAAACAAAACCATTTAACAAATGCTTAATCCTAAAATAAATTCTTAAGCCTTCAATTCCTAGAAGATTATTGAACTGCCAATAACCAGGTAGGCCTTTCAGGAAATCAATATCTCATCTATTACTCAACATAGAGTACCAGGGATTAATAGGTAGTAATCAGTATAGGTTAATTCTTAGACATAGAATTTAAAACTGCTGTGAGGAAATTCAGAACGCTAACAAAACACAAAGAAATATCTCAGAGCTTTAACTGAGAAACTTAATATAGGGAAGGATGTACTTTTAAAACAGTAAACAAAAATCTTACAGCTGAAGCACATTGAGCAAAGCTAAAAACATTGAAGTCATCACTAATAAAATAAATTAAACAGGAATAAATTAGTGAATAAAAGCACAGGTTACCTGAAAAAACACAGTTGCAGAGGTAAAAGAGAATGAAATAGGATTTTAAACGCTCATGCACAGTAGGGAAAATATTATAAGAGCAAATAAATTATGGGCATTCGAGAACTTGAGAATGCTGGTAAGGAAGAAAGTTTGCTCTAAGGAAATAGTGCCAGATAACTTCCCATTACTAGAGAAGGTCCCCAAATTCGAGGCATAGTAAGGTCAAATGTCCCCGGTCAGGTTAATGCGTAGCTCCACTATGTCTACTCCAAATTATCTTGGAATCAAGCTTCCAAAGGTGAAAGATGAAGAGAAGATTTTCAAGGCATCAAGGGAAAAAAGGGTAAATAAGGAGCAAAATGGAGGCTTGATATTGGGATTAGGAAGAACTTGCTCAAAAGGGAAGGAGGCAAGAGACGGGAGGGAAGAGAAGGAAAGGGAAAAGGATTTTTAAAAAAAGAATGGAAAGAAAAGATGAAAACAGAGTATTTTAAATGGGAGTGGGAAGAAGTATTTAAAGAAGGTGAAGGTAAAGGGACAAAAAATGCATTATGTACAGGTACAAATTCTATACGAAGCATGTGATCATTATGTATGGCAAACGTGTAATAATAAAACAGAAATGATACAGCACAAAAACATCATCCAGTTTTCATGACAAAAGACTTCTCAGGGAAGAACCTGTAGGTCAGGCAACATTTGCTGGAGAAATCAGTAAACTAAGGATACTGGGTTCAACACGATGATCCTTTAGAAATTTAGAGGAGATAAAAAAATCCCAGAGACGCAAAAAATTGAGTGAATATATTCATCCAGGTATATACTACAGAAATGCTGCGGGAAGTTCTTCAACCTGGAAGAAGAGTAGGAAGAAAAATGAGAAGGTAAAAGAAAACACAGTAGTAAGAGTTATGTAGATAATTCAAGATGCTTTCATGCTGGATGTATGGCACGTGAACCTGAGGATTAATCAGTTAAAATAATTAGTGTCATTAATATATTAATAGAGGAAATATGGAGGTCTGGAAATAGGATGCCAAAGTTGAAAGGTTCACTTACAGAGTTTTCTCATTAGTATATGCTTTCTCATTTTTTTATTGTTTATGTTCTCAAAATCATGTTAAATTGCTATCATTTCAAAATAGCTTCTTATAATCAGAAGACATTTTTGTAAACCTAGTAAGAACCACAGAGATGAGATCTTGAATTCACTATGTAGCTCAGGTTGGCCTCAAACTCATGGTGATCCTCCTGCTTAAGCCTCTCAAATGCGGGGACTACAAATGTGCACTACCATGCCTGCTTCACCTTACTCTTAAAGAGACATATAGACAGGAAATGAAGGAATAGTAAGACAATACTTCATACAAATGGACTCCAAAAGAAGAAAAAGTAAGAGAGAATACAATAGAAAAGAGCAAGTAGTCACTGATTTACCAGATAGAATAGATTTTAAATCTAAAGCTATAAAAAGAGGGAAGTCATGAGGTGTGGTCCACTCAACATGAGAAATTAAAAATTCAAAATACATTAACCTGATAATAGAGCAGCCAAATACATAAAGTAAATATTAAGAGACCTAAAACAAGAAGTAAATGTCAAAACTTTTAATAAATGTAAAATTTTCAGCAATGCACATATCATCCACACAGAAATTCAGGAAAGTAAGAGCAGACTTTAATTTTGCCCTAGACCAATAAACCTAACATGTATTTAATAAGCACTACAGCCCAAAATTGTAGAATAAAGTTTTTCTCATGAGCAGGAAATAAGTAATACCCTTACATATATGGACTCGATAGAGTTACAGACTAATCCATCCCTCAACAACAGAGTATACATTCTTTTCAGCAGCACAAAGAACATTGTCCAAAATAAATTGCATACTAGTCTATAAAGTCTGCTTAAATAAGTATAAAAGAACTGAACTTACCATGCACACACTATCAGACCATTGTGTAATGAAAGTAGAAATCACTGTTTGGAAAAGGAAAAATTGTGCAAAACTAACAACATACTCCTAAACAACCAGTGGACCACAGAACAAATAAAATCAAAGAAGTAATTTAACAATTTCTGGAAGTTAATGACAATGACTGTACAACAAAACAAAACCTCTAGGATATTATAGAAACAGTTCCAAGAAGCAAATTCATCACAGTAATTTCTCACATTGAGAAAACGGTGCAAGTCCAAATAAATAACCTGATGAGAAATCATAAAATACTTGAGAAACAACAACAAACCAAGTGAAAATAAAGAGGAAAATTAAAATGATGAAAGAAGAAATCAATGAAATTGAGCCTAAAATTACCATAAAAGGCCACAAATTGAAGAACAGGTTCTCTGCAAGAACACATAAAATAGACAAGCCCTTAACCAGCCTTACTAGGAGAAAGAGAGAAATGGCTCACATCAGCGCAATTAGATATTAAATATTAACAGTCAGAACAGATACTGTCCAAATCCAAAAGAGTGTTAGAAACTATTTTTTAAAAAATATATTCCAAGAAATTAGTTTTGAAGAAATGGACAGATTCCTAGGAGCATAAAATTACCAAACGTAACCCAAGAATTCATGAGTATGCTTAAAAACCCAGAAAGAGAGAAATTGACACAGTAATAAAGAATCCACTAACTTAAAAAACCCACATGCGAGACCCGATCGATTCACAGCTAAATTCTACAAAATGTCTAAGGATGCTCTATCATCTGTAATCCTCAAGGTCTTCAAGAAATTGTAAGGGATGG